ATCCGGCCCCCGGGCCTTAGGTTGCCTACCCCTGGTCTAGATCTCCCTCAGCAACTAGATGTTTGGCTCCCTGGCCAAGCATGAAGAAGTACAGGTTAAGGATGCTTATCCAGAATTCCAAAATCTGAAGTACTCCCTAATCCAAAGGTTTTTGAGATACAACACAAATAGTATTGTATTTGCAAGGCTGGAGAGAGACACTATGATCTATGAAACTGAAATGACAGGAATTCATGCCTTCCACCTTGTTATACATCTTCAGTCTCCCTCCAGCCTCTTTATGTCTTAATAAATCCATTCATCCATCAATACAGGTAATTCTAAAATCCAAAACATAAAATAAAAATAAAAATCCAAAATATGGAACACTTCTTGTCCCAAGCATTTTAGATAAGGGATACTTAACCTGTATCAATGTTCAGTTTTGCTGCTTAAGCCAGAAATGTCTTTTCTACAAAACAGATCAGTTTTATATCATCTTAAAACTCATGGGATCCCATATTCTCCAACACTGCCCAGGTAAAAACCAGGGCATGTGTGGCCAACCAACATCAGAGCGTGGTCAAGATGGTAAAAGTTAATGAAGAACACACGAGAGGTTGTAGTTTGCTTTTGCCTGCATCTACAGGGAAGGGCAAGATTCCACTCCCTCCTCTCCATTCTCTCCTGCTGAGTTAACTGAGTGCAAACTTAGTCTTTTGTGGGGGTTTTGGGCTGTGTGGCCATGTTCTAGAACAGTTTCTTTCTGATGTTTCGCCAGCATCTGTGACTGGCATCTTCAGAGATGCTGGCGAAACGTCAGAAAGAAACTCTTCTAGAACATGGTCACACAGCCCAAAAAACCCACCAAAAACTATGGATGCTGGCCATGAAAGCCTTCGACTTCACATTGAGTGCAAACTACTTGCGCACTTTGAACTTGGTTTGCAACAACTGAAGTAAGCTGAGGAAAAAGGGGAAATGTGGGAGAAGAAGAAAGAAACCAATACAAGATATATGCAGATGAAAAATCAAGATCACACAGGTTTAATTGGGACTGTCCCTGCCAAATCAGCTCAATTGGAGGGCATACGATCATTAAACTTTAAACAGAAAACTTTTCTTTTTTTGACCCACAGACCCCAGAATTCCCTAGTCAGCATGGCCACTGGGAGGACTCTGGGACATATATAGAAAACAGTAACCTTTCAATCTCTGCAGTGCCCTCACTTAGCAATGGTCTCTTCTACCCTTACTCTATTAAGAGATCTCTGGCTTCCATTTTGGGAGGAAAACCCCCGGAAGCTCTCAAGAACACTTTAACCGCTTAGCACTACAATTTCCCAAAGTAAGTGTCAAACACATGCAGCTTTCCTTTTCTGATCTTTAAAGAAAAACATTTTTGCTGCCTAATTACATGTAATAAAAATGCTTATCTCCCCACTTATACTTATGAACAAGGGAACCCATTTTTACCATGGTTTGAGATCAACAGCATGGCAGCACAAAAAAACCCCACACAAAAATTTTAATTAGTGTCAAAGGAAGCTATTTTATAATCACCACATGGAAGCCAAGCTGCCCAATTGCTCTATAATTTGCAAATCCCTTTTGTATTTTTAGTTCAGTCAAAACACAT